TACACCATTGAAAAGATCCCCTTAGTCACTTTGAAAAACAAAGGAAAGTTCTTGACCCACTGAATATTCTTCTCAAGTGAGTTATGTAGTTATTATTTCTGTTCTCCAAGTGGATCAATAGCTATGTTTGGGTGGGCACTGCTGACAAACGAAGATGATTTTTGGAGCTACTTCAAGATTTGAAAACATTCCTCATGATTAGAATACCAATGGCAACCTGTCTGTGTAAAACAGCTACAGGTTTCTTAAGAGCATTTCTAATAACAGCCTAATTGAACAGGCTTATTTCTGTTGGTTTTCAAGCCATCACTAAATATGTAAATATCACGTCCATTTTACCTCTATTACGTAAAATTTGTGACACCACAAAAAAGTGTCAAATTGAGGTGTAATTGAAAAAACATCTCCAGCATGTGAACACAGTCATCCTACGAAATCTCAGCTGTCTATCTAACGGATTTTATTAGGGTAAATGTTTGCGAAGACAAAATTCAATATAATGTCAGCAACCTACAACAGTTATTACTATTATTAGCAACTGAAGTATGTGGGTAAGTCTGCTGGCATTCTCAAGTGCATTTCGAAAACCATCTCAACTATGAAGGCTACAATGTTGAGATGTTCACATCTGCATCACTTAATTTCAGGGAGAAGGTCTACGTTCACTGACAAATTGGTATTTTGATGAGGAAAACAGGGGAATGACAGGGCATATACTAACATCAATCCATAATCTTTCACACACTCACTGCTTTACTTTGGAGAATCATTGACATGAAGGTGAAAGTGTCGAACAGTTTGTTCTTATAATTTCTGGAGTATATGTAAAGCACCATGCCAAGCGACCATTCCAAACTTCAATGTTTCAGTGTTAACACCTGCTAGAGATAAGCTTAGTTGTACAACTTCGAATGACCAATATTCTGTTAAATTTTACATGGATTGCAAATGTTAGAGATATAACATAGAGCCCAGGAATAAAGATAAATCGATCATAAAACCCCAGCGAATATACAAGTGGTTACCAGTACTGCGGATAGATTGTTTAGCAGGGATTTCTAGATCACTTATTCTACTACGGATGACTGGAGTACTCACAGCTTGTCAAGACAGTTGACTATTTATATGTACATATATATAAATGCAGCATACCTCTCGAATGTCGCGACTTGGTTGAGGCGATAATTGCTACACGTATTGGATTCGTTTCGCTTTCTGTCTGCTTGATCTAATGACAGGTAACATAACATGTACGAATATATATTTTAAATATGCACATATAGATATGTTAGCATTCAGTGATTTTATTTTCATATTACTGAAACTTAATGACTACACATTCCTTAAGAATAGAAACTCCTGAAATTCTGTGTTAGTGAAAAGTGAGTTGTCATTTGGCCCCAATAAATACTGCTATTTATATCGTTAACTGTTAATTCAGCTTCGTGTGCTTCAGAATATAAATGGAATTTACAGTTTCTTCAATCAACATATCATGTGAGTTATCAAATGATACTCTGCTACACTGCCTGGCGGTGAATAATTTACTTTCCTCCGTTCCAAAGAATCTGGTGATCTGCTGATTGATGATGGGTTCTAAATTTCTTTATGAAAATAACCAATACATCATTTGATTCAAGATTGTATTCGTTTTGATTATTAGAAGGGCGGATCACAGTTGGCAGAGAAATTCATTCCTCACACTGTCAAAATTGTGTATATGACTCACTCTTGAAGATTCATAGTCGGTGACAATGTAAGATGTCATTCGCTTCCATAATTGTTGCTATTTATGGCGTAAACTGATTATTCTCATATATGTGTAATTCTGAACAAAAATGGAACGTACACTGTTTCTTAAAGATATCACACGAGATATCAGCTAACGTTTAGTTACACTGCCATAAAGATTTCAGACAACTATTCAAATTAACTTGAGTCAATGAGAGTACATAATGTTTATGTCTCTGGCACACAGAATCTCCTGATCTGATCATTGATGACCCTTTCCAAATTTATTGAAAAAAAACAACTGATGCATCATGTGATTCGCCATTTTATTCATTCCACCTATTTGAATGGTGGAATGGAAAAGAAGAATATTTTCAACACTCCTTTCACTAGTGTTTTTATTATTATCACTATAATTATTATTATAACAAACTATTCTCAGTCACGTTTGCTTTTGAGCAAATCGTTTGTCGGTGTGCATGTATGCATGTGTAACTTCTGAGCATTTGTGCTAATAAAAAATATTTTTTTTAAAATATTTTCACTGACAGTAGATGAACTGATTCAATCGTCAGTACACGAATGGGTTCTCGATGATCTGAGAATGATGAACCAATTCAAGAATGAGTGTGGACCGAAGATACGTTACATAGCATCAGTGAGGAAACCAGTTTTGTAGAACATCAGAACTCTGACGTTGATTTTCAAGGAAACGTGTACAACCATTTTAGGAAGAAAAGAGAGTAACGACAGGTAATGGATCTCAACGGACACCTACCTGGAAGCTGATCAAGGAGAGGAGGATGGTGAAACAGAACATTAGTCATAACAGAAATTAACTACAGGTGACGCTGAGTTCCATGCACACCAATGGTGAATGACGAAGTGAAGAAGAGTGACAGGAGAGCCAAAATGCGATTCTACGACACAGTGGTATTTGTAGAAGAATAGGATGCAGGTAAATGAGATCTCAGGACATTATATCAGACAACAAAGTCTCTATCCAGAAAGTGATTAACACAGAAGAAGCAAATAACATATAGTCATAGGAAACTAATATTTCTGATACAAGTATGGAAATTCCAGGATGTGAAATCGGTAGCCCAAATTTTGCAGGCCGACCACTGATATCTGGTGTTCGTCGGCCGAGGATCGAACCCTGGACAATGTGCATGGTCGGCGAGCGTCCTAACCGCTGTGCCACAGACTAACATTAACTGAAGAATGATCACATAAGATTTGTTGTAAAGCGGAATCTATTGGAACCATGAGACAATGTTGTTCACCAACGTAATAAGTTTTTGGGGTTGATTTGTAGCAAAGTTATTGCTTAGACATTTCTGATGGTTTGTGGATCTTAAGGATTTCATCGGAATGTAATCATTTTATTTGGTTTAAATATGAATTTTATCTTGAATTAATGTTCATTCAATGTGCTAGTGTTGTCATTTCTTTATTCGACTTAAACAGTTTCTTCGACTGTCTCATCTCTTCCTATTTTGAACTGACTTATCAAAATTCAGAGTTTGTCAGATGATTCTTCATTTATCTATTAGTCCTGTCAGTTTTACACCTCCTTCTAAGATTTATTCTTTTCATGAATGATTTCGGATATTTCATAACCTGTGTTACTGTTTGAAATTACCTCCAGTGTATCAAAGTTGAGAATAGTTGCATTCATTTATTTCTCCATGATCAAAATATAATCAGTTCAAGATGTCGATTTAATATTAAATTATTATATGAATAGTACAATATAGAGTAGTGGTGTAAGATGAATTCCATTCCCATCCTTAAATCAAGTCAACCTGTCCCGGATCAGCCTAGCATTGTTGCAACACAATTATCCATGCCCAACGTGTCTATCCCACCTTGTTTAATTAACTATGTTTGTGTGTTTTTACTTCGATCCTTTTAGTCAGACAGTTGAACTCATGACCCAATCAGAGTATTTTTGTGAACTGTTATTTTGCTGCCCCATGTCTTACTTTGTACTTTTCTGTTGAGTTTATCTTATTTATTGATTGGTTAAGTAGCCAATTAAATTCTATCTTTGTGCCTATGCTTTGTCTATCTCTTATTTGGGTTCATTCTTCTACTGACTGCTTACCTGAACGGTCGTGTCTGATCCGGCTAGTTCGTAATTTTGGCTTTAACGTTATTCCGCTCTGATAGCGGTTCCTTGCTTTCTGTTAAGCATTGTGTATTGTACTCTTGAAACCGTTAAGGTTTGTTGTATATATATTAATTGATTTGTTTATTAATAGTACCGTAGAAACAGTGACCGGCTTCTTGTTTGTTCTGGACCGGGATAGCCTATATCTACGCGTGACTTAATTTCAAGCGATATTGCGCTTACAAGTGGAGTACTGTGTTACTGCATTTTTGGAAAACACTTACATTTTGTCAAAAATTCTGTGGACTTTGAGTTTTAAAATCACATTCACATCACCATTTCTACTGTTATTTTTCATATAAATAGACAGTGAATAATGAACTAGACGGCTATCTGATCTGAATTATTTCACAATAATTTTTCTAGTGAAGTACGGTATGTATTGATTGTTACACTGAACCATGGACTAACTGCGTTTTTTCACCACGTTTAGAATGCACAGATTAACACGTTGGTCACTGGATTGATGTTAGTTGTTCCAATAAGTTAGCCAATGAGTCCTGCAGTGTAGGCATTGTTTAATTGTTTGTGAATTCATTATCTGATCGTTCAATATCGAATATCAGTGGAGTTGCAGATACAAAGATATCGTCTGATATGTGATTACAAGGAAGTGAGTATTCTTTTCCAATTTATGCCTAAATAGTTAGCGTGTCGAAACATCAGAAATCAGTTGGATTCGGTCAAAAATTCTGTCAGTTCCATTGAGTAAAATTGAACGACGCCTATTGAATGAGTTATATTCAAAATAAAATGACGTTAAAAAGTATGCAGGAATTTTTCAAATAGCTTAAATCATATATACTCACTTCCTCACCTAGTGATAATGAAATTTTCCAGATGCTCACGTACCGTTTGACAGCCGATGTTACTGCACACTGAATTTAGTGAGCTGAAATACAATCTCAACAGCAATTGGCTGAATGTTGAGTGCTCAGCCATCCCCATATCACATACATATCAAAAACAGAACACAAATCAGACCTATTAATATCACATTATTCAAATGATTTCGAATCATTCTACACACCGAACAGCAGTAATCATCCTATTTTCTATTTAAATTTCAAATCAGGTTCATCTTTCTTTCAGGATGGTACTAACTGACAACGACTCAAATAAATCATCTTTCCGTAAATCTGAGGAGACTTTATATGCGACAAATGAAGAGTCATGTGTGATAAACTGTGACCAGAAAATACATAAAAATTTCGTCAACATTTCGAAATATGACAAACGTGTAGGTCGTCTCATGTCATTGTTGGTTGATTGTGTAACCCTCATAGGTGATTGTGTTCTCTATCATACTCATTATAATTGCAATAATCATCGTTATAGCCCCACACTTCTTGTAAGTATTCATCATTCTCTTGTGTATGTTAGATTAAAGTGGGTCGCACGACTTGAATCCGGTTGTTCACTTTATAATGACTATGGTGTTTTGGTAAGTTTAATTTAACTTCAGTATTCTGTTCATTGTGGATGCTTTTTTCATTTGTAAAAAATTGTTTATTCACACTAGTCATTGTTTCTATTTCGTTAAAAGGGCAATGATGTTACCTCAAATTTACAATGAAGCCACCTAATATTCTTGTGTATTTCCGTAGGAGAAGCGCTGACAGCTCAAGAAATGCATAACAACATCAGCTTACATCTGTGGTTTCAGATAATAATTGATTTTATGTCTCATTATTCGGTCGAATGTGTTACATTTAACATTAAACGAAAATCTTTAGCAGGCTGAGTAAATGTTCTGATGTCTAGGGTTAGAAGGAGTTCGTTCAAAACATTTTTACCTAAGAAGCACTACAGAGCTGTAAAATATCGAATGTGGTTTAATTCTTCCCTAAAACACTCTGCTACAGAGGAGGAAACAATTCTAGTTTATTCAAAGTATGGGAGAGGAAGAAGCATACTAGAGAAATATGTTTTGCCAAGTAACATGTTGCCAAGTAGATAATGAAAGGCTGGAAATGAAACTTTTAATTTTCAGTGTATCAATAAAGTTTCATTAAAATATTTTTGTTTCACTTCACAAACTTTTATTTCTGTTCAGCGTGTTAGCCATAGTCAGTGGATATCTTATCGTAATTTCTACATATTTCAGAGAAAAACTGATTATTGCTTTAATTACTCTTCTCATTTATGTGAGTCAATCGGTATTTTCGATACATAACTTCTTCATGTTTATTCCCTTAAGCAAATGTAAACGATACTCAGTTACTAATAAAATGAGACGTTTGATGAGCACCATTCGTGAGATTGAAATTGTCAAATATGTCAGAGTCTAACAACTTTCACGAAAATTAATCCGCAATTTATGCAGATAAATTTATAGGAGGACTACAATGAAGCTGTATGGCCGGGGATTTCTCAGATACTGAAGAAGTGAACTAGTGTTTGACATGCAGTGTTCTTTGATAGACATACTGGATAGCATTGTGAGATGTGTTTCGAAAGTGTATGGATCTCACTACCAGGAAGCATTTGGGTGTAAGGGCTAAATAGTTTTGCAAACACTTATTAAGGTGCATCAGAGTCAGAGAGGCAATTTTATTTCGACATATCCATGAAATGTCTTCTGACTGAAGAAGGTGATTCATAGGTCAGAAGAAAATAGGTATGTGAACGAAGATGATATTTCACAGATGAATGATTAAAGCCAGAAAGTTACTAAATACCCAGTAAAGTAGCAGGACTAGATAGAATGCCCAAAGAAGCACTCAAAACGGAAGCAGACGGCTCAGCAGGTATGTTCACTACACTACTGAAAAAAGTGTGGAAGATGTGGAAGGTGAAGAAGTTGCATCATCCTGATGGGACTAGAAAACCACTTTGTTTGGAACAGGACATTGGCTGACAGTTGCACCATATGTCGCAAACTGCCAGAGGTTTCAATTCATCGTCCATTGCATTTGACTCCAATGATGACAGCATCATATTTAATCAATTAGTGGTTACGTCCATCAAAACATAAGGTCCTACAACCATGTAGTAGATAGCATCTGCAGACTATTAATGAAGTTACACTTCGAAGACATGAATAGTAAACGTATTCACTCCACACATTACACTAAACACTAGTTGGTGATAAAGATTCCAGGGACATGGTGTCATATCCCTGATGCCAAAGTCTCTATCCATCAAAAGGCCTAAATTATTCTGCATTTCGTATTGTTTTAATCATGCAGTTCACCTGCCTTCCACTGGCTGACAATCAGAAGTAATCAAATAGTGGATTAATGAAAGGATTCAACAAATACTCCTCGGTTCTTATTTAGCTGTTTTTTGAAGCGAATATGAAATCAAAATTTGCTAAAAATAAATTGACTCTGTGTCTAATTTATTTTCTTTTACTTTTCAACTCCAGGGAATATGTTGCTCTATTTGTCTGTCCATTTTCTTTACCAGTGCTACACTTGTGGATGTTATTCTGGGTTGGGTTGCAGCTGTTGTCATATGTGCATGTGGAGTATTTTTAGGGGCAATGATAAAGAAAGATTTGATTGAGAAATTCGGCGCCTTCCTGGTGGTGTATGTTGTGATTTTTGTTCTGACAGGTATCGCCATGGGAGTACTAATTGCTTTCAAAAAAGTCATGGTATGTTAACATATTGTCAGTTTATATGTATCCTTTTATTTTAGGTTTATTCATGGATTTATAACAGATAGCCAATCACTGTAAACCACTAGGGAGTACTGGAGTACTAAATAATTAATGAATGAAATTTATGCTAACTATTTCTGGTGTAACTTCAATGTTACTGGGATTGTGGACTCGTTCTACAGCTACTTCAACACAACAATAATACACGTGCCTATAGTGTTGTAATTGAGACTTTAGCACTGGACATCAACATGCTACTGATAGAACGGAGTATCATTCCCCACACTGAGAAGAAACAGATGACTGACTGAGAAGACAAGATTTATTTTTCTAAACCAACAAGAATAACATTAGGAATTACAATCAGCTATTTCGTTATTTTATATAAGCAATAAATTACTAGCTTGGGAAACAAAGTTAGACGTATTATTACAATTATTGGTTCCTTGAGATCCGAGTGAATTATATGACTTCACAAGCTCATCTCCTCTCCCCTCAGTTCTCTGTTATCACTTTCAGCGGAATCCAGGACTATACACTAGCGATCATAATGGCTTCTCATGATCTTCTCCGGTTCACTGTCAGACCTATACCTAACTTGGTTTTTTAAATCATTCGGATAACATTGGACAGATTTTAGCAGAATACAATTTGAACGTCTCTTCAGCGAATATCCAATCCATCTGCGTATACCTCTGCATATTTTCAAGTTTTGGCTCGCAGTCATTTGATTGATCACGAGTTTCATTACAAGCTGACTTTGGTTTTAACAATAATGGAAACTTAGGGAGTACTGCATGATTGTTTTATCTTAGTTTTAGACTCTACATCAGTACGCACCTACCAGAATTCATACCCATGAACTTTCGGTTGCAGAGCAGGCTCTCAGATCATTTGGCCACTGGGGGCAAATCTGATGACTTATAAATTTCAACGTCTCTCTAGAATTAGTGATCAGAGAGGTCCATCAAGTCAGGAGTGACAATAGCTACTAACCAATAAAAGTGGCTGCTGGTTGCACCGCATATATCACGAACTGACAGAAAGTGGAATTAATGTTCCGTTGTATTCCTTATCAGTCACTTAATGGTATACGAGGCTGTTTTGTAGCAGGAAAATCTTGAGTTAGGATACTGATGGGCCTGTGCTGTTGAGGAAACCGAAACTGCCGTCCAGTGCAACCTGGTTCTGCACTTTTGGGGGACAGTAGGCTATTAGATATTTTGTTGCCAATGTGTATTTGCCTATCATGTACTTGGATTCCTTGTCGAGGCATTATCCCTCGCATAGTTTAACAGCCATCACTTAGTCCAGAAGTGAGGGAGAGTTGAGTGTTACAGCCAAACGCATCGCTAATGAAACTCGTAAGCACATAAAAAAGAGATGATTGAAACATACTGCTGAATACTTTCACGACTAAATGCATCGTAGAGTGTCACTTTCCATCCAGAAAATGAGTTCAACTTTCATTTCATTCAATTATTATTCAAGTTTGTCCTGTTCACACTGTCCTTACTTCGACTGTTCATTTCAATTTTAGGTTGCTGTTATCATCGCTGGAATAGGAATGTTTATTGAAGCATTTCTGGTGAGTAAATTATTCTAAAAGTCAAAACAATGACTGATATGGTTTACCATTTAAATCAAAGCTCCTCTTTCTTCAATCCATTTCGTTTCGAATGTTTGAATTATAAGATTATAGTTCGTATTTTCACGTCGAAAATCTCCACATCAGCCAAACCACTTATCTTATACTGTCGTCCTACCAAGATTTTCATTTCTCCAAATCGAGAATCGCTCACTCTTGCAATTGACAGCTTATCGCAAAACTGAAGATTCCTTGCTTTTCAACAAAGCAATAAGATGCACAGTTTATTATTATATCAATACCATTCTTCCTTTCGGTTTCGAGTGTGACGTAGGAATTCAATAGTTCATGTCCACTTTGTCCTATTTTCTGCTGTCATCTTTAGCTGGCCTCTCGATTGCCTATATTTTCTCATCTCCTCCTCCACTATCGTCATTCTGTCATTCTCAAGTTCATGACCCACTCATCGTCCCCCATTCGGATTTCACCTTAGTGTGTGATGTGCGATTTCATTCGAAAGTCTTCTCAGCGTGAGACTTATCCCTCTCCATTTTCTTCGGCATGGTTGTTGAACACTGGGCGTATGCCTGTTCTCATGGTTTCTTGTCACTAATTCTTTCTGGTCATTTGGTCTTAGTATGGAGTGCAGGAAGCTGTTCATGGAAGTCTACAGTGCGTTAGAAGTGCTTCCTGTGATGCGCTCATCAAGTTTTTTACCTACATAGAAAAAAAGTCAAAGATTTTTCTTTTGTTTGTGTTGAATTCAGAAGATTTATACACTGATTTTAGCTGGATGAAGGTCTACGTTGCATTTCCGATTCTGGTTTTGACATCGTCATCCATGTCACCGCTCGCAGTTGAAACCATACTACCTAAATAAGCGAAGGATGTGATTGGTGTTCACTGCAGTTGTCTACATTATCTTTTCTTTGTCAATTGAAGTCCTATCTTTGCTGCTTCCAATTCTGAATTTCTCCTGAAAGTCTTCGAGTTTATGTAATTTTAGACGTAAGTCGTCCAGGAAATCAAGATCTTCCAGAGTCTGCGGTCAATGTGTGCCCATCTTCTCGCTCTGCACAGTCTACCGCATATCCTCTGCGATCTTCACATCAGCTTTTCAATGCTTCTGAAGATAAGAAAAAGGCGTAAACAGAGAAGAAAATTTTCTTTTCGACGATTCATTTTCATGAGCTGTAGAATCGTAATTATACTTAACAAAGAAATCTGTAGACCAATCAGATACTGGTAAACTTTGTCCTCGAAAAATGTATTACATAATGTAAGGTGTAAAGTAGAATGGATGACTAATTGTAAGTTAGAAAAGAGGCAGAAGTTGGCATGACGTGATAAGTGTGAGATAATGACCAATCAGTAAAATAGTGTAGAATAGACAGGAACTAGTGGAAAGGCGATAAAGTGTTTTTACATGAAATCTGTATGAAAAAGCAATGTTATTAATAAACAGTAATAGAGTGGTAATAAAATATGGGTGACGGGAATAATAATGACAATATAATATCATTCATAACAATAATAATACTGAACTTACGTAATAAAAAGAGAAGAAGTGAAATTGTAGTAAGAAATTTACTCTGGCCACGGTAGGGTGAGTGAATGTATGTATCGCCTTTGAATGCAGAGGTCCACTTTCAGATCTAGAATAGCTAATGCTTCAGCTATGTACAGATGGCGTATGCGAAGTCCCTTTGTACGATATAGAGGGTCTCTGTGTAGCACTGTGAAGCATTCATCTGGCGGTGCTCGATGTCCAGAGAGGACAAGGTGTTCGAAGATCTTTTCTTCTTTGGCTAACCAGACTACGTTTGTGAACTTGATGTTGCGTACGGCTGATTTACTTTTCTACACACGAGCAAGTAAATTGATAAATACAGATTGAAGTGTCCAAAAGCGGAATCTTATCTTTAACTTCCTTAAAATCATATGTCAATACCTTGAGATACGGTAGATAAGAAACCTTTGTAAAGTTAAGTTGCAAAGGGGAAATTGGAGCTGATATTCTGAAATGTCAACTTAACAGAGCAGTAGAGAGAACATTTCCTGCAGCTAAACTGGTACTCAACTTCTCAACTAAACCAGTACTCACACAACGAGTCAAGGGTAAATTACCAAAGATGGCCCCATCAATGTGTATCTGTGAATTCAACTGCTCATGTGGATTGACTGTACTCAGACGGCCTTATCCATGCGCACGCGTGAACATGTACCTGTATGGTTGAGGAAAGGGGTAAGCAAATGGGTAAATAGTGCAGTCTTAGCCCACTTGGTAGATACTGGACACTCGATAAAACTTGACCATGCGTTCTCATTTATTTACCACGTTCCTGTTAATCTATCTAGGGGACCTCGATGACGTCTTCTATCAGTAGCTGAAGTGGTTGAAATCAATACCAGAAGACCGACTCTTTGTATGTAGGAGAAGTATGTTCAACCGCTATGTTTACCTTGGCTTACAATAAGGCCAACAAATTCTCCATAAACATTAGCACTTTGAATTATTATCACAATTTTCTTTTCTTCTTCTTCTTCTATTTTTTACGAGTTGATCACGGACTGATATCAGTTAGAGAACCATTGAAAACCAGGGTGTACTGGACAGCTGCTGTTTCATCCTAGTTTGGGAATCATCGGCAGTACGCACCCACTGGGATTCGAACCCAGGACCTTCCGGTTACAAGGCAAGCTCGTATACCATTCAGCCACTGAGACCCGATTCAGTGGCTCATGAATTCTAACTTCTACCAATTCGTGATCTTAGCGCGACCCCGACTATTGTCGTTTCATTGACAAACGTTCATTTTTTGACTTTTTATGATTTTTATAACCTTTCTTATGATTTTATTACTTTAGGTTTAAGTAGTGCTTTTCCAACTTCTTATCGTATTTACAAAATCCTGTTCATTTCACTTCATTAAATTCATTATTATTATTATTTGACAATCATTCACCAATAGTACTTTTTAGTTTACACCACATCATCGTTATTATTGTTGTTATTTTCAACCTTGAACCTATGTCTAGTTTGCCCTATTCGTTGGTTTATTTTCTGAAGTATTCATATTTTATTTTTTTATTTTTTTTACAGCTTGATTCCACACCGTATTTTCAGTACAAGTGTGGAATTTTCAGCATGGATATCGGTAGCCCAAATTCAGGCCGACCATAGATACGGGTGTGCGCCGGCAGGGGATCGAACCCCGGACCATGTGCATGGTCGGCGAGAGTCCTAACCACTGTGCCACCGACGCACACCATGATTATACCTGTATTTTTGTTGACTATGTATAAAATTATATTTCTAAAATCTCAGCCAAATTGAAACTAGTAATTCCAACGTTTTGTTTGGCAAACCGGTCTGAACTTCTTCAGGAAAATGAATCAAAATTAACATAACAGAGGGTTATATATAAAAAGGTCATATCGTATTTTTTTAAAACTTTGTCCAAGCATATGAGTCATGAAACAAGCATCAACATGTTTAATAAGTAATGTCAGCTCATGATGAACTCCGAATAATCAAAATTGTATGAGTTGTGATCAAAATTTGACCTCAGACTTACAAAATTTTAATGTCAGTAAAAATTTTAGTCTCTTTTCGTTAAACACTTTAAGCGGAGTGTACTTTTTATCAGATTACGTTCAACTAGAAGTTCGTGGTCGTAGATAACTGAATATGAAAATATGTGCATATGCAGTATACAATGGTGTGTTTATGTGTGTATGGGTAAACAGTTGTACAAAATTTCTTAGCCTCGAGGAGATATAGACAAGTATGATTAATTAGTGATACCTATCCATCTTTTATTTATTAATCAGGATTTACCATGCATCAGCTAACATCACACCTTCACGTCTGTTCAAACTGTTGCGACCTACCCATATATGTAGCGCTTCGATAGAAACAAACATGAGTACATGCGATCATCTAATGCATTACCACAATTCTGTTGGTTATTTCTATTCATGTAACAATGACTTGTTGGAACATCATCAATGCTTTGTGTCCGTTTATATGAAGTGTTTGAATTGTGGATATTAGACAGTGACTGACTGACTGACTCGTTATCTGCCTGAATTCCATCTATCATCATCAGACAAAAATTAAAACTACATGCTGTAGCCTAACTAATTAGTGAAAGTAATTCTCAATTTGTATTTAGAGTTGGTAGATATCTAACCATCTCTTCATATTTGCTACTTATATATTCTGTCGTCACTTTCTTATTTATTTCCTGCCTACACAGGTGTCAATTATGGTTGGACAATTGATCTTCAAATCTGGTCACTTGCATATTCGTGATGATTGGTCTATGGGTGTACTGGGCATGTTTTCACTAGTTATCACAGTGTTTGTAATAGCAGAGGTGGCCATCTACTGTTTCAGAATCATGATGTAATTTACGTAACGGAAGAATTCCTTAAGCAGCTGTGATTATTAAAGTTAAACAATGAATGGATAAATCGTCTATGGAATTCATAACAGCTTGTTTTCTTCATTTTCCTGTTCTTTATCAATTACATACATTGCAGTGTGGATTCCTTCTATGCCCCAGCCTAAACAGCCTTCATTATCTTCAAGGAATGATTCGACTACTGTGGTTATTTATACGTTGGCGTATGTGGATGATGGTGTTGTAATGTGTAACCGCGATAAAGACACATAGCCAATTTATGAAGAAAACTAATTCTGTACACCAATACATCAGAGTAACAACTTCGAAGAATGAATTACAGTGAAAGTAGTTTACTCTATTTTCTCCCAGGTTTGCAAGGAATAATTTTCTATTTTGTTTGCGTTTCAAGTGGAACATTAGGTACCAAGCTTAGAAGTTTCAGTAGCAGTGGTGTTTTTCTTTATGATTTACAGGTTGAGGCTGCTAGTCTCACACCCATCCATCATTTTCGGCTTGTCAGCTAGGAGAGGTTTAGGATTGCGTCAGTCAAAGATAAAACCTCAGACAACGTGAGGTGTGACTGACAAGCATCCTACCACTAAACTA